TAATCAGGAGCATCACTTTCTAATGTTTATTGATATATTTAGAGGGAGGGGATCTAAAGGAATGCTTTAAAATTCAGATTAGATTAATTTCTACCATTTTCTTAAATTCATGGTAGTTTCAGTAATCCCATGGTAATTGAGGACACAAGTTATCTAAATGACTAATGTCATCTTTATGGCTTTCAGAAAGGACAGGAGACCGACAGGTGACTATCAAAGGACTAGCAGCAGCAGCAGCAGCAGCAGCATGATGATGATGATGTTAAATGTGTTGTTTTAGGAACATCCATTGCAAATACATGGAATTCAATAAACATTGAATAGCATATCATACAGTTTGTCTGTGCCTTTTCCTCCGTGTTGTCCTGGTTTGCTGTGCTGCCTCCTAGTCGCCACCATGGTTTGCTGTGCTGCCTGGGGATGCTCAAATCGCTCCGAGAAAGAAGTACGAATGTACGGCTTCCCCACTGACACAGAGCGGAGGAAAAAATGGCTGGCTCAAGTCAGCAGGAGCAATTTCACGACCAACAGCAAAAAAAATAGTGAGGTAAATTTAATAATACAAAACTGCATTTGCACCTTTTTGCAGCAAAAACGAATACCACACCATTGGGAAGCTAATGTTTTGTTTAATACAAAAAAGCAGGGAAAGCGCTTGAAAAACACTGAGTTGAGAACGGCTCAGGGTGCAGGGTGAGGGCTGCAGTGCAGTATTCAGGCTCCATTGAACCCCTCTTGGTTCTTTTGCTGAAAGAGGGAGTAACAGCACCAGGAGAAAAAGGGTTATACACACTATATCGCAACACTATTGGAATTGGGAAACTTGCCTGGGAGATAAAGGTGTGGTCTTTTGTTCCAACTGAAGTTATGGAACTTTATTATTTGTGAGTTTAACAAAAGTATGCACAAATGGNTCCAACTCACAGGTTTATCATTGCTTTGAGAAAAAGGATGATTAATTTACCTCTTTTTAGAAGGGAAGTTATTATCATTTGTTCTGGGAATGTGATTTTCGAGACTGAAACCTGAAAAACAGGCTTGGGCTTAACAGGTTAATCTCCTCAACCCTGTTTCCAGGTTCTGCGGGGAGCTGTTTTTGGCTAAAAATCTCAATGCAGTTATCTGGTGAAGACAGTGGAGTAATCGTTCTTTGTTGTCAAAACTAAAATCCTGCCGACAGAAGCACCGTTTTTGAAGATTCTCCAAAAATGTCCACATGAAAACCCCAAAACACCATTAATGCCCATTGCATTAATGGTGTTTTGGGGTTTTCATGTGGACTTTGGCCAGTGGGCAGTTTGGGTGATCCAAAACCAACAGCTAAGGTGGTGAGGTCTATGTTGTGGGAATGTTTGATAAGGTGGAAGTGACCCCCAATTCTTACTACTAGTTCCTTATTATAGTAATAACACATTTAAAGGTTGCACAATTTTGGATAAGTTAGCCTTTGCGTTACATTTCGCCTTATAAGTGAAGCCTCAAAAACATAACACTGTGTTAGACCTGTTAAAGTGGGAATGGTCTTCCAGCTCTTCAGCAGAGCAGCTGTTACATTGTTGCGGATGGAGCCCCGAACCGCCTGGCTAGTCCTGTTCTTTATCTCCCAGACAGCAGCAGAGCCTTGCAGGGCTCCCTCTTTGTCCTGACCGACGAGCTCACTTCCTCCTTCCTCCATACAGTAGCGCCCATATATGGTAATGCCTTCAAGACGCAATCTGTCTGCAATTCACTTATGTGTCGCTCTCCCTGTGTGTTTAGCTCTAATACACAAGTGAACTCTGCTCTTTTAAACACATGGAAAATAGTTGACCTTGTTGACCCATGAGCAAGAAGGGACTCCTCCAACATAGGTTTGGTTAGTTTGTGTATTCAGAGAGTGTCATGGTTTGTGCTGCAACAGCTCTGGTGTGGTTCAACATGCAGCACCATGGTGGGTTGGGCATTAACCAAGATCCTTCCAAATATTGACTGAATTAATATAGAAATTATTTGACAAAGCCTGGACTTTAATTCGGGGAACTCTGGCTGTTATTACCCAGAAAGATCAACCAGTGTAAGGCAGATCATTGAGCAGTGATAGGCGTTAGTGCGTGTCAAGACTGGAATAACAGGCTATTACTGCTTCCCTGGAATATTAAATCACCTTATTAAGTATTTTCTTTCTTTCAGAATTGAAACGATAAGTCATCTCACAGAATTTATATGTGATAATAAATTATTTGTCATTTTTTTAAGCCGAAATATTTTTGACTCCACATTTTCCAATGTCGCTGCTTTTTATTTTATTTCATAGTTTGCTAGGGCTGTACCGAATGTAATTTTTTTATTTATTCAAAGCTTCTATTGAAGTTTTCAAATGACGCTACCAATCGTCAACCTACATTTTGTTTTTTTAAATATGGATTAATGCACAATATTTTTGGGATAAAAAACATATTTTTCCATTAGCTCAAGTTGTTGGAAATGATTGGATCCAACAAGTCGGAAACAAATGCAGCAAACTAAATAGTAAACTGATCAAGCCAGGAATTAAATCATAATTTTTTCCCCCTATTTCAGTTGTTGTAACTTGCATAAGTTTGATAGTTTTTCGTATTGACCTAAATTAACCTGTTGAACCCCATGCGCCCGCCGGCGGGAGAAAAAACGCATCATCTGCAGGAAACAGCGTCTGAGGGCTTCTTAATATTTAATAAACTATGAATGTTTCATATCCATGTAACGGGAAGAAACTCAGCTAACTGATGATATGACCAATTTTTAGCAAAGAAAAACACAAGGCTAACGNCTGTGTGTGTGTGTGTGTGTCTGTGTGTGAAAGAGAGAGTGTGTGTGTATCTGTGTGTGTGTGTGTGTGTGTGATATTAGGCCTGTCAGCTGAGCCAGCACAGCTCTGCAAGCGCGTCATCACAGAACTGAAGCTGAGAGCGAGGGGTGTGAAATCACCCCCTCGACAGTCACTTTTCACTGGACACACGCACGCGCCTGTGTATTGTGCTCAGTGTAGGATAGCTGTACATTAAGGTGTTTTTATTTTAAGGGCACAATGAGTCAGAGGTTTTTTGCGGCATGAATTTGGATCTTGATTCATGTTTTTGTTTATTCCCCCCTAGAAATCCTACCTTTTGCACGGTCTAAATATAGCCCCTAATGTGCAGGTGGGGCGTGACCGGGGGTGTTTGGCTGCAGTGGAGGAGACGGAAAGGTCTCCAGGCAGATTTAGTGGGGTCATGTTGTACATGTACACACACACACACACACACACACACACACACACACACACACACACACACACACACACACACACACACTGTTGTCCTTTAACACTGGATTTAAAGCACCTTTAGAACCTGCGGGAATCTCAGAACACACACTCTCTCTTCTCCTTTAAACACACTGCTCTCATCCTGTCAGTTTGATTTACTCATTAAGTGCCATTGGCGCCCGTTAGGATTTATATCACGCTGCTTGGGTGTCATCTGACATCTTAGTCAGCTCTCACTCCAGCAGGGCAGTGTGACGCTGGGGGGAGGGTTACTTCAGTAATGTAATATGTTACAATAACTAGTTACCTGTAAAACTGTAATCAGTAAGTATAGATATATATATAAAAGTAATGTCACTTGATTACTTCCCGTACTTCACTTTTGGATTGCTTCAATGTGAACGCAATGTAAATAAATCCAAGAGAAAATAAATACCAAAAAATGTTTTCTAGTGTAATCTCCAATTTTTGGAAATGTAACAGTAATCTGATTACATGCTTTTTTGATGTAACTGTAAGGGAATACAGTTACCTTTTTTTTTGTATCCTGAGTATGTAATCCGTTACATGCAATCTGTTACTCCCCAAGACTGTTCATCTAATGCAGGGTCAGTAGAAACTTGGAAGCTGCAGGGACGCAGTGCTGGTTTACATTGATCAGTTTCAATACAGTAGCCATCATTAATAGTTTTTATGGACATCGACAGATTTCCAGAGGCTAGTGAGTGCAGGAATATAGTTCAGACATACTGTTAAGCGTTTTTTATATTTAATCTAGAGCTGATCATTATTACTTTCTGGGGAGATCAATTATTTAATTTATTCGATCATACGTCAGAAAGGCAGCTATAATTGAATAAAGCCCGAGGTTACTTTAAAATGTTTATTTTTACCTGCGCCTTTGTACAGAAACTTTGAGTACTTAGAAAAGCGCTATATAAATTAAAAGTATCATTATTATTAATATTTTTGCAAAACCAATAACCAAAATAATCTGAAACCAGAAAAGATGTTGTCTTTTTGCCTAAAAACAGACTGCAATTCATCAGCTTTGCTACCTTCTGGCTACTGGATGAAACATGTATTTGTGTGTCCCAGGTATCGACTGTCTTTTTGTGTTCAAAGTCTTGTTTACTTCTTTTTATTTAGAAAATTCTGCTTATTTTGGCCTGTAGTTTTTTAGGCAAAGTTATTATATTGATCATTTGTATGCCGACTAAATAAAACAAATTGGAGCAGTGTAAAAGTCGTAAGGGTATTGAAAACATAATTTTGGAAAGATATTTAAAGTTAGTTATCCTGTTAATAGTTTAAGATAGAATACTTGATTTCGTGAAAAATTCTGTTTTTAAATAGATGCGGAATGTTGTATGTTTATTCATCTCATACGGCCACATTACTAATTGATGAATGAATGGAGTGAGTTCATTTATCAAGTCTTCCAAATCCTCCACATCTGATGCCTTACTGCAGAGTGATCCCATCCCTTGTTCCTCTAACATGGATCTACATGCTTCCCCTTTCTCTTTGCCTGTTACACAACAGGAAGTCCTCTCCAAAGCACTCCCAAAAACATCAACAGTCCCTTCACAAGCTATTTCCATCCTCCGCCTGTTGCCTAAACACCGCCTCCCATATTTAGTTTGAGGTTCATTTCAAAACTCATCGTGTCGGGGACGATGTGAGCAATATGTGGCGGTCAACAGAGTCATATCATTAACCTTCTCCTCCACAGTGCGAGGATGTCGTCCGGGGAAGATCGTCCAGATGTCAGAGGCCGAGGTGCGCGGCTTGTGCATCAAGTCTCGGGAGATCTTCCTCAGTCAGCCCATCCTGCTGGAGCTGGAGGCTCCGCTCAAAATCTGTGGTCAGTATTCTCCAGGTTTCTCCTTCTAGGGTTTCATTATGGTCTTATAGCACTTTAAACCCGGAAATGTTGAGTACCCCAACGTTTTATGATAGAAATGTACAGTACGGGTCCCCAGCACATAGACTCTGCTGTATGCTAACCTGCATATGTTGGGAAACTTGCACAGTTAGCATACGTTGTGTTAATTAGCAATAGATTGAATTAGAACCTATGCACACAATAGATTAAAAAAATGGCTTGGCTGATTTGGACAATTCTTGAATGATTGTGGGGGTTATTGAGGATGCTGAATACATATCTGATATTTTCAGGATAAGAAATTGCAGTTTTATCAAGAAAATAGATAAGTGGTAACTGGCAGGCTGATTCTGACTACCATGAGTAGTGTTGCCACCATTGGATTTTGTGAGCACAAAATGAAAATGATTACCTCTACTGTGGACAGTTATTTTTCAAATAAATAAGCCATCTGTCCTATCCAAATGATCCAGAGTCAACTAGATCTTCAAAATCGCCCGAAGATGAATCAAAATCAGCCCACAGAGTACAGATGTGGCCACTTTCTGTTTTGAATGATGCATTATGGATCCTGAAATCAGAACATATGCAGGTTAGCATCCGGCAGTTTCTATGTGCTGGGGACCCTTACTAACATCAATCTTTGGGCTACTCAACCTTTCCGGGTTCACAACGGGACTGGAAACTAGACTATTACCTGCTCCCCCTTCCTCCCCCCTCACTGCCTCCTCCCCCTCCCCAGGTGATATCCACGGACAGTACACAGACCTGCTCCGGCTCTTTGAGTACGGCGGCTTCCCTCCAGAGGCCAACTACCTGTTCCTGGGAGACTACGTGGACAGAGGGAAGCAGTCTCTGGAGACCATCTGCCTGCTGCTCGCCTACAAGATCAAATACCCCGAGAACTTCTTCCTGCTCAGAGGCAACCACGAGTGCGCCTCCATCAACCGCATCTACGGATTCTACGACGAGTGTGAGTGCTCTCATGGAAAGGGAGGGTTTCATTTTCACTTCCTCCTCAAGTCTTATTGTGGGACAGATGTTGGCACACACCTGTGACCAGAACAGTTGTTGCAATATAGAAGCAGGCAGACAAACCTAGAATAAACTCATGTTGGGGGTGAAACAGTTAACAAATGGGATTCTTTGTTTTAAATTGGTGATATCTTTGTGATAAGCCTAATTATAATCATGACAAAAAACATGTTAAGATTACCGTTTGACCTGCTCTCCAAAGTTATGAAATAGTTACTTTTGGATCTTAAAATGTCGGAAATGAGATACTTGTGTAAAAGTTTTTTGGGGTGTTCCCCTCTCCTGTAGTTTGTTCTATAGGTGTTAGTGCATGCAAATGGTCTGCAAAAGCTAGAATCCCCAAGCTCCCTATCCCCATTTTAACATCAACTTTTTTTGTATGGCTCCTAAAATGTCTTGTATTTTTACATCTTACAGTACCTTTTAACTCTCAGAGCTACGGATACAAGGATTAGTTTGTAAGAAGTCAAATGTGTTATATAATGTACTTTAAAGCCTTAAAAGCTTTGTTTACATCTGTATTTTTTTTCTAAAATTGGAGCAAAACAGACTTGTATTTTCATTATGGTGCAATAATAACAGTTGTCGATCTATAATTCCTATTTTTCAAGAATATAGGACTAAATAACCCAATCTATAATCAGCGTACCTTTAATTAAAAGTCACAATTGGTTTATAATTAATCAGGTAAATGATTAATTTACCTGATTAATTAGATACACTAAATCCATGGCCTGCTCAATGGATTCGATTTGAGTGTGGAACAGGGGGAAACAGGACTTGGCCCTTTGATCAGTGTTAAACCCCTCTCTCACAGCCTCACGTGGCTCTCTGCCTCCTGACTCACCTCCCTGTTGGTGTTGCAGGTAAACGCAGATTCAACATCAAGCTGTGGAAGACGTTCACTGACTGCTTCAACTGCCTGCCCATCGCCGCCATCGTGGACGAGAAGATCTTCTGCTGTCACGGAGGTACGAGGCCGGCACATGAGTTCTAATATTTGCAGCATCTGGAGGAGGAAATATAACGAGAATGGAGCTTCTGGTGTGACTCTGATGTGAAGTGAATGGGTCGCAGCATGTTAATAGTGTTAGTGATTTGGGTTCATACCTGCTACAGACTAATAGAGAGATGAATCTGTGACGGTTTGTGTCGTCTCGTCCTGTGCAGGTCTCTCTCCAGACCTGCAGTCCATGGAGCAGATCAGACGCATCATGAGACCCACAGACGTGCCCGACACAGGTGGGAACACACACACACACACACACACACACACACCATGTATACATCACTTCAGGGGACATCACATTGACTTACATGCATTTCCTGGAGACTTATCCTAACCTTAACCATAACCAACACATGCCTCACCCTAACCCTAATCCTAATCCTAACCAAGTCTTCACCCTAAAATTAATGATTCCCCTCATGGTGACCTCCAATTTGTCCCCATAAGGGAGGCCAGTCCCCACACGTAACTGTGTAAACAGATTTAGGTCCCCACAAGTATAGTAATGCTAGGCCACACACACACACACACACACACACACACACACACACACACACACACACACACACACACACACACACACACACACACACTACGTACACACACACACACACACACACACACACACACACACACACACACACACACACACACACACACACACACACACACACAGCCAGTTAAAGAAAAATAGTTTTTTTAAACTGCTAGTATAACGTATTCCTCTACTGATGCTAATTCAACAACACATGTTCTTTGTCACATTAACGTTGACATGCATTTATCAATGATTCCATTCACATTCAACTGGTAACTATTTTTATAGATAAATAATTGGGTCCAAAAAATATCAGAAAATAGTGTAAAATGCCCATCACCATCCCCAGTGGACATCTTTACAAACAATTTTGTCCGACCATCACATCCAAAGATAATCAGTGTACAATGACGTCTAAAAAAAGCATCAAATTATCCCAATTAGGATTTTATAACTATAAATCTTTGACTTTTATGCCTAATAAATGCCTGAACAAGTCATCTAAAATCTGTTGATCGACTAATTCTTTAAACATTTTTAATTGTTGTGGTTTTATCATCTAATTTAAATGCAGAACTATTCAGCTGCGACAAATACTGCTATACTTACTAGCTGTATCTTTAGCTTTATTTAGAAGTAGAAATATATGCATCAGATGGATAGGGAACACCTTGTAATAGGAGTTCCATAACTAGTGGACTTTGCGATAAGAATGATCACCCTGTCCTGCCATGTTACATATTTTGATAGGGTAAGGGTCAAAACAAACCTGGGGCAATATTTATCCAGCTTCTCAGGGTTTAGTAATCTGCCTTAACTGGTCCAAAATGCTCAGTGACGCGGGTTCGGTCCTCTTTTAGCCCTCCGGGTAAAAACTATTTATCTTAAGTGAGGAACTTTTACATCTGCTGATATTTAAGGAGAAACACGCACGCATCCTGTGCAATATACTTATTAATAACATTGAGGACGCCATGATTCCATCCCTAATAACCTCTGCTGATGATGGATGTGTGCTAGAAAAGTGGAAGTGAGTGTTTGCCCCTCTTCACTAGAGCGGGTTGTTCTTGTCCTTATAAGGCCGCCAGTGTTAGACCCTAGCAGCCTCGGGCTCTCAGACCCTCTTATGGTCTTCAGACAGACTCAGAGTGGAGGTGAAGAATGTGTGTGTGTGTGTATATACATGGGCAGCCTTGATGTTTTAATACCAGACGTAATGTAAATCTAACATAACGTTAACCTTAAGCAGTTTGGAACAGCAGAGCACATTGTTCTGAGTGGACCAGGTCTAATTGTCTTGCCTAAATGCAGCGGTTAAGACCTCCTCAGATGTTGTTTTGTAGTTTATATCCTGTCTTCTCTTCCTGCCAGGCCTCCTGTGTGATCTGCTGTGGTCGGACCCCGATAAGGACGTCCAGGGCTGGGGGGAAAACGACCGCGGCGTCTCCTTCACGTTCGGAGCTGATGTGGTCAGCAAGTTCCTGAACCGCCACGACCTGGACCTCATCTGCAGAGCCCACCAGGTACGGCAGAAGCTCAGTTCTTGAGACTTGGCTTGGGAAACAGAGGGTCACGGGTTCAAATCCCAGAACGGACCAAGTATGGAGAGTGGACTGGTGGTTTGAGAAATGCCAGTTCACTTTCTGGGTACTATTAAGGGGCCTAAATACAGAGACTAACTTTCTCTTTGTGGTGGTGTGTGACGATTAAAATGGAATACTCCATTTCCACCCACGTCCCCTTATCATTTATCCATTTATATAAATAGAAATGGATTCCAGGACAGGTAATGATATTTTTAGGCTTCCTCGTTGTTCAACACGTTCTATTTACAGTTTACATATTGGCATGATCTGCTGCTGTCCATATCAGATGTCTATGATCTGCTCTCCAATGACTCACTCTGTGTCTGGCGCCCCCAGGTGGTAGAAGACGGTTATGAGTTCTTCGCCAAGCGGCAGCTGGTGACTCTGTTCTCGGCTCCCAACTACTGCGGAGAGTTCGACAACGCCGGCGGCATGATGAGCGTGGACGAAACCCTGATGTGCTCCTTCCAGGTAGGACGTCACCGCAAAGTGCCGACATGGCTGTGCTCTAGTTGGCATGCAGGGAAACGGCATAACTTATCACTTAGTATGGGTACAAACCTGGGTAACTTACCAAGGTTATCTATATGTAAATGCAAATATGTGTTGCCAAAATTAATAACGAGATGACAATCTTATTCTCTCAAACTGCACTTTTATTATAAAGAGCCAAAAATAAAGCAGTAAAATATAGGGCCACACGTTAGTTCAAAAACAACAAACATATCCTTGTTGTCCTTTTGTGAAAACAATTCCATAGAATTATTAACACCTTTTCCCATACACCGTCTCAGCACACAATTGGAGAGTTTTCCTAATAAAAAAAAATGATAGTAAAGTGCAAGTTTACTAATAGCAGGATGAAATGAGTAAGAGAATATCTGTAATCCATGTGCAGTAAACACAAATCAAACAGTGTTATTTCAACAGAACATGAGTTTTGCGATGGTATCTGGTATACTGCCACTCCTGTTACATTAAAGAAGGCTACACACTACATTGTATTGCGTAGCCTTCTTTATAGTCAGAGCGTCACCTCTCTGGAGCTCTGCCCTCCCGCATTCATGAACGCACCATCAGCTTCTTTAAGTCTGATTTATTTGACTGAATTTCTTTAGTTTTTTGTGAGTTCTTTAAAAAGACTTGTAATCACGCAACTGTAGCAAAGTACAATACTTATGGTTAAAACTCCAAAATAAAAAAATACTTGTACTTGGGAGTGATTTCCTACTCAGGACAGGACACAATCCTGAGCCTGGATTGTGAAGCATTTGAAAAACAGATCGTTTCTCTGCGAGTTAAAATATTTCCTGTGTCTTATCCTAGATCCTAAAGCCATCTGAGAAGAAAGCCAAGTACCAGTATGGAGGGATGAACTCGGGTCGGCCCATCACTCCTCCTCGCACAGCCCAACCTCCAAAGAAACGATGAAGAAGAGAGAGACATGAATGTCAAAGATTGTCTCCTGTTGGCTTTCCACAACACAAAAGAAGTCAAAGCAACACTTGGCAGAGGGAAACCGAACACAACTATTTCAAAAGACACCCCAACCTGTCTTTCATCTTCATTTCTTCCTGACCTCCCCCCGAGCTGCTGTCACTCTCTTCTTCTTCAAAGCTTTTTATTCTCATCTGCGTAACATTTTTTTAAAACAAGTGTTTAAAAGGAAAAACAATACAGGGGTTTCATTCAGTAGCATATCGGAGTGTTTTTGACTTTTGCTTTTTTTCCTTCTTGACAACAGAATGACAACTAGTTCAGTTTACCATATCTCCTTTTCTCTTACGTGGTTATCGTTATAGTCTGTATACCCGTGTTTTCATTTTTAAATTTTTAATTCAACATTCAGTTCATTAAAAAACAACGGTTAATTTTTATTAGGTTTAGTTGGTAACGGGACTTATTTACTAGACCTAAAACATGTCGAACGGTGTCTAAATGCAACCGTTTTTTTATTACAACGGAAGGAACACCGACTACACACGCGTACACCAGTACACAGTGCAAAGTCGGAAAGTTTACTTCGAAGGGACCTCTTTCACTAAATCTCGCCGACCTTATTGGTGTCGTCTTGTAACTCTTCATAAGTAAAGGACATAATAAATAACTTTTGGGGCGGGGTCCGTCAGCAAGTAATTATGGACAACACAGGCCCCCCCC